CTCAGCCACAGCAAACAGGATTCAAGGCCGTGTTTAATTATGTTCATATTGTTGGTGAAAGGATGGGCCATGGTGAGCTGAAAGCCAGGGCACCTGGCATTGCCTTGGGCTTAGCACGTATTTTCTCAGGAGATGTTGAAAGATGCAAAAGTCCTTGGCAAAGAGTCTTTGGGAAGAGGAATCCCATGGGAATCTACAGAGTTCATATCATTAGTGTTTACTGTGTAGAAACAAAGAAGGTGAATGGAATAGTTCTTTCAGCTGGAGTCATCTTGCATCAGTACATGACTGATCCCCTCCCTTGGCCAGGTCAGGGACTAAATAGAGCTTTGTCTGGCATTTCTCAGGCGGGAGGGGTGCCAGGCTGCTGTCTGGGGAGCTGCTGAATTGCAGAGATGAAATTAGAAAGTCATTACAAGGTGTGCAGCACACCTTGTAGCAACAGAATCCAGACACAAAGGGCAAACTAAAGTCCTTCCTTGTTGGCATCTTGTTGCTGCAGTGTGTTTCTTACAGTTGTAATTACCTGAAAGCATCATAGTTGTTTCATCTGTGTCCTAAAATACTACTTTATGAAGCAATTAAAGGCAGAATTGTACTCTGGGATTACTGCAAATGCGTCTGCTTAAGGTTCATTTTAGATTCATTACAAGCCTTCAGAAGCAGTGCTCCTGCTTTTAATAAAACATATGGTTTCCTCAAAAGCAAAACTGTGCAAGATCACACACCCTTTTAGATTTGGTGACGTAGGTGGAATTTTAATGTCAAAAAAACCCAGAAGGGCCAGGCAATCCCAATTCACTGCAGAGATGGCAGTGTATCTTTAAAAACTGCAGGACACTTTACTTGCCAGCACATATACATAACTGTTCATACAATAGGTAAAACTTCTTTGGAAAAGAATGAGCAATTCCCCTTCTGCACAAGTGATAACTATGGTCAGGGAACTTTCCGGGGTCTCCAGTTCCTGCTTGGGGAAAAAGGGGACCCTTCTTTCAGGTGAATGCTGTAACTACTGAGAACTTGACCTGTTCAGATCAGACATGAATCTTTTTTCTGTTTTTTATTCTTGCACAAAAATGTCTGATCCCTTGAAAAATTTCAATAAAGCCATTTTCTGCCTTATTTAGTCTATGAACTGTATTAAAGATCTGCTTGGCTCATTATACACAGCCACATCCCTGATTTGGGCAGCTTCCAAGGGATTGGGACATACCATGATGGAGAGAAGATTTAAGGCAAGGAGAAAGTAGGGTTACAGACAGGGTGATTATGCAGCTACTGGGGTGTTATTTTTCACTGTAGAGAGAAGCTGAGGACATATTTGCTTGTTTGTTGATACATTCTTCAGAGAGAATAATTGGTGCATCCATGACCAGCAGTGGTCCCCAGACTCAGCTTTTTCCTCCTTTTTGTGTAAAGCATTTAACCATCCCCCCTGCCCCCCTTCTAGTTTTGCTCTGGAAAGGCTGCAACAAATTTCAAAAGAGAGAGAGGAGCAATATGAAAAAAAAAGAAAATGCTCCACTTCCTTCTTTAATGGACTGCAACTGTGAGGCCTGTCAAGCGAAGGACAAGCAGAAACCCTGAACAATAGTCACAGACTCCCTAAGAAGGACAGTTGTCAGCATCCATTCTTTCCAGCAGAAAAAAATAAAACATGCTCTATTTTGAGGCAGCCAGCAGAACACAGAGAGTGAGTGACCTGCCACGAGAGCAAAATGCAACCGAAAAATCTGGAGAACTTACTTAGGAAAGTTCTAGTTCTCTCCATGCCCTGGAAGTGTATGTACAAGTGAAGGAGAATTATGTATGGAAGAGAGATCACCACTCATCCTCATGTACAGCATGTAGCCATAGTTTATCAACCACAACTACAACCTGTCTTTTCTGAAGTGTGGCTCAGCAGGATGGCTGACTTGCAAGGTTTCTGTCCAGCTGTGACCTAACAGGTGGGCTGACTCAGAATGAGAGGTCGGCAGTAGGCACCTAAAAGAAGTGGTTTCCATTCATGCCACAAAGTTCCAGTTATGCTGACATGTAAGGAAGGACTGGACTCCCTTCTCCTTCTCCTCCTGTTAAGTCAGGAAAAAAAAACAGAATTATTTTAAAAGGTACCAAAACTTGCTAGCTTTCCAAAACCAAGCTAACAAAAAAACACACCCATGTAGGAAAGGAGAACTAATTAAGATTAAGTCATATCTGAATAAATATGCAAATTAAAAATCAAAACAAAGAAATTCTATTTATCACATCATGAAGTTGCAAATTGCTGTTGTGGCTCCCATCGGCTGGAATAGATGAGGGCTACGAGGCCATAGGTTTTGAAGATCAACCACATGTTTTATTGTGATAGCTGGGGGACTGTTGGCTGTAGGTATATTACTTGCCTTCCCCCCACCTCTTCTGTACTGCATTCACGTTCAGTGGTATGCATAGACTATATTTGGAGTTCTCTAATGTAGTGTCATTGGTTTTCCTCTTTGTTTACCTTCTGTAAGACAACATCATTATTCTTTGGTAAATCTGTTTCATATCCCCTGGGTTGGTTTTTTTTTTGTTTGTTTGTTTCTTTCTTTTTTTTTTTTTTTGAGGAGGGTGGGGGTGAGGAGGGCAGGTGAATTCTTTTGTAGCTTTTAAAAATCAGATTAAAAACGAATGAACAAACAAAAAACCACCAATACTCTGCTGGAAAAGAAAGCAATAGTCTAGATGCTGGAGAAACCACTACTATGGTCAGAACAAATTAGGAGGAAAGGCTTCTTCCCTGACCTCTAAACAGGGTCTAAGCACATCCTCACTTGTGGAGAACCTCTCCCTGCAGTGTATCTCCCCACTGTTAAGTTGGCATGGCCTTGGTGTGTCCTGTGTATGCAGGCAACAAGGGAGAGTTTTGATATCCATTACAAAGGTTTTATGCATAAATACTTGCTTCCTAAAGACTGTCCCTTCATTCTTCAATGCAAAGAAATGGCAGCTTTTTACGCTTTTTGTCTTTCATTCTCGTTTGTTGTCTTCCAGATTTCTCTTCCATAGCAAAGTGTTTGTGTGGTAGAAGTAATTTTCCCCTTTTTCTCATAAATAAAGTCCTAAAATCGTTTAAGTTATTGAAAAATTTAGAAGACCCTGTTATTTGGCTTCCCAGATTTAAGTAATAATAGGGACTTCTTTTTTTTTTTTATTGTTGTCCCATTGATGCAAATGTCTGACCTATAGTTCCTAGGGTGCAAACTGTTCCATCTGTAAAATATTAGTGAGCTGAGTAACATCTATGTTCTGTCCCAATGGCATTAGCAGCTCCTTCAAAATGTGCAAGTGCAATATTGAAAGTAGGTATGCTTTGGATCTTTTTGATTGCAAAGTTGCAAGAGCAGAACTTATAAATGAAAACTCTGGTTCCCCTGAGTTTAGTCAGCTTTGAACCTTATCATAGGTACTCAGTATCAAGGTAACTCATGCCATGCCTGCATATGAAAAATAAAAGAAGAAATCAAACCCACTGGTCAGACTCAGTTGGGACCACTGCTGTTGCTGTTTGTGCTGGGAGGATTGTCCTAGTTTGTTTGTTTTGTTTCATGTCACATCCTCATTTTTAGTATGAGTTCCTCCTGACCCAGATTTCTGAGCAGACTAAGTAGAGCCAGAAACTGTAAAGTGCATAATTATTCTTTTATTTATTTTTAAGCTGTACAGCTCTATTAAGCTTTCAGAAAATCTTTTATACCCAGCCTTTGAAGTAAACTAACCCAGAGATCAGCAAGAGAAGAAGTGGGTTAACACTGCTTGTTTCTGCTTGCAGAATAGTCTGTATACAGCTAAGATCTGGAGTCTGAGCTAGGAAAATCTTACTCCTTTTTTGGAGTGCAGGAGAGGAGCGATCAATACATCCAAAAGCAATACTTTACACCTTTGGTATGTTCTGAAACCTCAGATGCTGACACTGCTGTGAAACAGCTGAGAGCTGGAAGATTATTCCAGTTACTGACATGTAAATGAGCAGACCACACATTAAAGCTGTGTATGCTCCATCTGCTAAGCCATTTATTCTTCCCAGGTCGGGACAAATTAGAAACTCTGGCCCAGAGGTGGGATATTATTATTCCTTTCCCAGTCCCCCAAAGCAGTACATTCCCCTGCTTCAAGTCTGATTGAAAACATTGACCTGGAGGTGACAAACATACTGTCTGTCCCCCTGATTCATCCAGACTCTGACCCAGGCAGCACTGAAATCACAGGTTTCTTTCTGGTCTCAAAAAATTACCCAATGGCAAGAGGCCAAGCTGGGGTAACCTACCTTTCTGAGAACCAGACAATGTGACTGTGATATCCACTTAGAGTCTTTCCTCAGCCACCCAGGCTTGCCTCTGAATTTGGCCCTTCTTCAGCAAGTCATGCTGTCTCAGCCTTTCCATGCTTTTCCCCAAATACAACCACTCCTGGTGCTTCTGCCCTCTTTTGAGCCAGTGTACTTGAAGATCCAAGAGCCTTTGTTTTTTGTTCATGCTGCCTCTTGTTAGCAGTGCTCTGAGCTTGCACAGAACAGAAGGAAAAGATGCCAAAGCACTTCAACCACCTGGATTAATTAGGTCTTACACTAAATGTGGAACTACAGCGAGGTGGATGATGATTAAACCAGCAACCTTCTGGAAAGTGAATACCTTCTTCTCTGCTATATTTCAGCTTCTGTAACCTTGTAACTGCCTCAAGGCAAGAACGGTGTTGTCTGTATGTAAAGCACTCTGCTTCTGTATAAGCAATAGCAGTAATAGTGATAAGAAAAATAATAATTTTACTCCTGCAAGGTTGGTAAGTATCAGTCTTCATTTTACAGATGATGAAACAGACACAAAGACATACAGGAGCTTGCTTAGTGCCATCTCATCCCTTATTAACAGAGCCAAGATTGAACCTAGAAAACACATTTCCCTGTTGCTTGCTCTTACCCCTGAGAACACTCCCTCTTTTGGTGACGTCCAGTCTCTCTTGTGATTTTTCTGCAGAAGGTGCAGCAACAGCAGCTTGGAGTCTGATGATGAACCTCCTTGTGTGGAAGAGATTGATTACAATACTGACACTGTCTCTGATTGTGAAGAGGACTTCTCAGAGCTAGACCAAGAGATCCAGGAGTCCCTCTCGTGGGTGGAAGGCGAGAGAGAAGATGAGGGAGTGACTACAGGACAGACATGCAGCTCCAGGGCTCTAAGGGAGCTCTACATTTCCAGCCAGCCAGCCCCCAACAGTACAGCTCTTCCTCTGGGTTCAGCAGCGCTTGGGCTGTACAATGGGTTCAAGAGCAGCCCTGTGTGAACAAGGCTGTGACTTGCAGGGCAGCGAGTGAATGGGTCACTGCTCATGTTTACCTGTTTGCCAGCTTCAGCATCCTTCCCAGATGTGTTGCTTCAGTTCTGAATGGAAAAATGTGTGTTTGTGTAAGTTGTGTAAATACATCTTTTGGGAATGACTCCGTATGTGTACACCAGGCAGAGTGAGATGCCACTAGCCCAGATGGTACTATGTGAGTTCATCCTTTCCTAAATATAATCCCCAGTTTCCTGGATGCCTCTAGTATGAGGTTTCATCCAGACTGACCTAAGGAATGGTATGTTGAGACCAAGGAACCAGAGACAATTCTCCTTTTCCTACATTAGGCCTTTGCCTTGAGAAGGGACAGTTACTGATGCCTTTTGCCAGAGCTCTCTGTTGCCATTCATTTCTCTTGAGCTGTAGAGCATGGATCTTATTTCTGTCTGATCAGAATTTTTACAATGTGTTCAACAGGTTGGGTCAGGCTTTGTGTGTTTCTGAGCTGGTTATATCTCAACAGCAGCATAGGAAATCCAATGTGCCGTAGTAAGGAAAGCAGCAGTGACAATACATAGCAAACCTCTGGAAACCTGGGCTAAACTGACCAGTAGATTAGTCATGGTGGCAATATCCAAGAGTGAATTTAGCCCAGGCATCAATCAGAACAGTTTCTTTAATCCCCAAGTGGAGAAAAATTTGATTTCTCCTAAAATTGCCTTCAAACACATATCCCAGTTCCTGAGAATCCGTCACAGACTGAGAACCCACACATGTTCCCAGTATCCCTAAAGTATGAGATCACATCACTGCATCTCACACTTCACATTGCCTGAACTTCTCATGTATCTTAGACTCTGCTGCTGCAAATGGGGAATTGTCCCGAATCCAAATGGAACTAACTGTATGATGCAAGAGGCTCACAACTCTGTCACTGCTTTGTGAGGCTCACGAAGGATGAACGTGTGTTGTAGCATTACAGCCTGCAAGGACTCCAGTGATTGATTACCAGTGATGATTATTATTAATATTGATGCATGATTAAAAGCACCATGTCATCCTTCCATTTCTATGCTGTTTGTGGAGAGAATTCCTAGTGCAGAACAAGGTTCTCTCTCATGTGTTTCTGGACACTCTTCCTCAGACTACCTAGACGTATTTTTCAGCAGGAAATTATGCTTTAGACAAAAAGCTTCTTCCTATCCTCCTAGGTTTTAAATATCCACATATTTTAAAGTCTTCACTAGCACATAAGAGTTCCCTGTGCCTCTATTATGATGCTCAAAAGACAAGTAGCTTGGGTCCTTAGAAGCTGAGCTTCTTAGCCCAAACTAATTCATTAGGTGTGGTGTGTGTCCCTGTACAGATGTCCCATTCTGCTTGTTTTAGTGTGCAGCTTGTTGCACACAATATGGAAATTTTCATAAAAAGTTGGCTCACAGAAAGGGAGGTAAAATAGGTGTTCCCATTATAATAGTTTGTATAATACTGCTTCAAAACTTATTAATAAAAAACAATCTATGTGTATATTTAGGTTAAAAATACAGTATTTGTAGTCATGACAAAAACCTGACACTGTGCTAAGTCCTGACAGCAGCATATACTTGCCATGCTGTGGGATCTTCAGCATTTGGAGCATCCTCAGGACACAGGGCAAAGAATACTGTTGTACATATATGTGTCTGTAAATGTCCCATATATACCCATGCTACATTCTGTACCAACGCTCTGCCACAACAGCAGCTGAACAGTGCTTACTGAGGCTAACCAATGGTGCACTCTATGCAAAGGAAAAAAAATCTTCTTAAATCAGCATTTTTCCTAGTGAGACACCAATATTTTGGCTATAACTTTCTAGCTGTTTCATTCTGAATGTTCTAAGATAGGGAGAATTCAGTTTAGTGGGAAAATTCTGCCCTGGTCAATGAGCTGCACAAGAGTTGTCCTAATATAATAAAAGCAGAGATGTATCTTCCATGTGTGTTAGGAGCCAAATGTGTATGAGCAGTACCACTGTTTCAGGGCCCCCTGTGCTAGGAGCTGCAGGAGGTAGAGAGGTGGCAAAGGCCCTTAGGATGTTTTCAGGGTCTGGGATCCAAGTGCAGCAGCCGAGCTGGGAGCAAAGTGTCCCTGCACATCAACCACACCTGCTTAAGTGCTGCTGTGCAGTATGAAAAGCCTGGCTAATCTCTTGTCCATGGCAGCATCCCATGTCTGTGCTGAACAACTTGTCAGCAAGTAGTGAGGGTGCTGCAGAAGGTGCTGGCCACATGAACCCTGTGGCCCAAGGGTGCCCAGCCTCCTGCTGAAGAAGTGAAGCGGGAGGGCTGGGTGACCAACCACTTGGTAATGGCACCTGGAAACCTTCGGGAGAAGTTTTGTGGGCTGCCTCATTTCTTCCAGGAACTTCTACAGGGAGCAGATGCTCCTCTTCTTTTAACAGACCTCTAGAGGTCAGGAGAATGCCTCCATGTGCGCCGCGCACTCCACGCTATTAAAATTCTCCCTGAGTCATGGTAATTAAGCAGAACTAGGCTCTGCACAGAGGAACGGAAGTGCATTGACTTTAATAAAACAGAGTGTAAAACAACTTTAGATTAACTCCAGCCTTGTTTATTCTTGCACACTTGTAATTCTGGTTTGGTGTTGCCCCAGTGAATGAAGCCGTTGTCCTCCGCTCTGAGGCATGTCACCTCACTTCAGCCTGCTAAGTGCTGAGCAGTGAGGCCAGTGCCTTTTCCTGCTGTCGCTAGCTAATCCCAAAGAATTTGGAAACAGCCGATGGAGAAAGGGAGGGAGGAGGGGGAAGTTGCCCTGCTCCCCACCGTTTTGTCGTTCCTCAAGTGTCAGCAAGGCTGTCAGGTTGAGACTCAAGCCAAATATTTCCAGAATGACCAGAAGAGGTGGTGCCTTAGAGGCACTTGCCTCGTCCCCACTGCTGCAGCAGTTTTGGGCTTCTGCCAGGCACATTAACTTTTTTTACTGATGCCTTTTGTCTCACTGACTCTCTTAGTGGCTGTGAATAGATGCACTCTCCTTCCTCCCCCCCGTGGTTTACATGACATGGGTAGAAGATGCAGTGCTGAGCCCTGCACTACACTGCAGCCTCTGTCTCAGCCCCTCACCAGCTCTCAGGCTGCCTGGCCACAATCGCCCTTTCCTGTCAGAGACGATCCAAGGATGACTTGCCAGTGTCTAGTGAAATACATGTGTGTGTAAACCTCTAGGCTAAAAAATAAATAATTAAACAATATAAAGAAAAAATAATCAAGTCAGCAAACTGAAGGAAGAACAAAATCTAATTAGTTTTATCTGCTGTTTGTTATGAGTCTGTCAGAGTGCTCTATCCCCTAGTTTTACAGCACTCTGGAAAATAACAGTGATAATAATAATAAACAACCATGCACTGAGTTGTTTTTGAAGCAGGCAGAAAGGAGATTAAGGAGGGGGGAAAGACAGCAGCCCTGCTCCTCCACTGCTTCTCTCCTCCTGCCAAACAGCAGAGATGTGGGTGATAGTGCTATCTCCTGTCTTATCTGTCCTTGGACAAGATCCACTGCCCCTTTTCCATCCCTTGGAGATGGAAAGCATGAGTCAGTGACTGCTTGGTAGCAATTTGGGACACTCACATTGTATTTCTTGCTCTGCCACAAATCTCTTATTTGCTCTTGACCAAGCTGTTTTTGCTTCCAGTCTCCATTTCGATGTGAGGTACAAACAAGGCTTTGATTCCTCATGGAAAATACAGTAGTGAAAGTAGGTGTGTGTTTTTGGAGGAAGAAGTGGATAAAATAGGGATGTAAAACTGCCCAGGTGTTTGCTCTGTACTGATGTCAGCTGATGAGAAGGGAGCTGGAATTACACCTTGCAGGATGGTGCTTTCCATTTCAATGACATGCAGCATGGTTTCTCTTTAAGCTGTACTGGATAGTTTGAAAAGCCTCTCTTTGCAGATTATTATCAGCCTATCCTGGCACGTGGCCTGGTCCTTACAGTGTGGAAGTTTTCACACCTGTTTTAGGGAGAGCAGGATTTAACCCTGTGTTTGAAAACTCTTGTATGGTTTTCCAGGCATAGGGCTGGACACAAGGCTCCAGCTGGAGATAATATGCAAAAGTTTGAAGAACTAAAAATCCTGTACATATATGCACATTGGGAAAAGATGAAGAAGAAGGATAAAGAAATAAGGTATAATTCAGAGAGGAAGGAAAGGACTCAGTGTAGGGAGAGGAATGAAGAGAGCAGGAGGGAATAGGAGTAGGGGGCATTTGGGGGAGACACAGGCAGAGAAATGGGAGAATTGTTCCTATTTGTGCATCCTCTTCCGTCCCCAGATAATGTGTCAGTATTAGTGCTACCAAGAAACAACCCTCTTTACTGTAGAATAAATCTGCCACTGTATTCCCCACTCCATAAACGGCAGCCAAGTCCGTATCCTCAGCGCTGCATTGTGTGCTCAGCACTGGGTTTTGTGAGTGCTTTTCATGACAGTTAAGCCTGTATCATTTCTGGCCTTAGGTTTCCTCTCCAGGGACTCACATCCTCAGACAAGTCCTGGAAGATCCATGGTGTATTATTGTTGATGAAGCAGTTTGTGGCTACTTTCTTCATGTTTTCTTTTCTTTGCTTCTTCTATTTCACTTTTAAAAAGTGGAAGGGAGGGAAATGAAGGAGGTGAACAGGAGGGAGTGAGACAGAAAGGAGAAGCCAGAAAGAAGTGCCCTGCTATCAGTCTAGCAAGATCTCCAGAAAGATTGCAAGGCAGCTATTTTAGCGTCAGAGGCTTTTTTAGCCTAGTTAATTAGGCTGCTTGTAGCTCATGCATGGACCAGCGAGAGGGGAAGACAAATCTACAACTGAAAAAATCATCCATTGGATGCTCTGGCAATAACTCTAGTCCCAGTAAAGTGCCACAGCATTTGGCTAACTGAGCTCTGGGCACTGAGGGCTGGCTCCTCACCAGCTGATCTAATTGCAATCACAACCCTGTTTCTTGCCCCCTTGCTCCTAAACGCCTGACTGACGGCTTTTCCTGAATGGTTTCCAGTGCATGCTTTGGCAGCTCCTGCCTTTGCCTCAGCATTTCCATAAAAAGTCATTTAGCTTTTCTGTTTGTTTCCCTGTCTATGAAGTGGAGTTATTAATATTTATTTTTGGTGAAAGGGGTCAAAATGAGGTTTAAATCTCCAGTGTTTACAACACAATTTGATATCCTTAGGGAAGGCAAACAGAAGGGATTAAATGCTGCTTCCATCATATATCTGCCATCACTGAAATGAAAATACTGCCCACCACTGTGATCATTGTTAACTCCTTTCCAGCGGCCATTGTGTTTCCTTTGGTCTCCGTGGAAGGTGGCACAGGTGGGTCAGACAAATCCTCGAGGTGAAAGCATGGACAGTGTCGACAAAAAGAATTTGGATTTTTTGACAGCGCAGCAGTCTTCCAAGAACCAGGCAGAGTGCTGGTTAGTGAGTTGGGAAAATGGGAAATTTAATAGAGGTGAAAATGAAGCACTTGGGAGAAGAACGGAGCAATCTGGTAAACATCTGAAATGTCTCTGCCCAAGGGCTAGGAGTGTAAGGGCTAAACAGGATGAATATAAAGCCTTAGTACATATACCAAGCTATGAGTTAATCAGCTTCCCAGACACATGGAAAGAGAAAGTAGGAACAGCAGAAGGATTAATTGGCTGTGAAACATCAGGGAATTGGTAAATTGAGTCAAGGAAAGAGGAATACAGGCCAGCAAACACTGACTTAGAGATTAGAGCAGAGGTGCAATGACTAGATCTCCTAAGGCAGGGAGAAGAATATAACAAAAGGGAAACATTGAAAGTGTGTGAGGACCTCATTAATGCCTTGAAATGAGAAATTAATTGTTTCTTAAAAATTGAAGCAGCAGCAGATTAGGAATGAGAACATAATGATACCAAGGACGTGTGGATGAAATCAAAAAGGTCCTGGCACAGAACAAACAAGAGATGGCTTAGGAACACACAAGGGAAAAAAAAAGAAATCCTACAAATATGCTAGAAGGAATCAAAGCATTCATGATGTACCACAGCAGGAGAGCACAGGCAGAGTGTTGGAGTCCTTACTGCCTTTTTAACTCCCCTTATCACTAAAACAGTCACTGCTAGATATGCATAACAGAAATCATACTGATTAGAGGATGGGAATGGGCCAGAACAAAGGGGTGTAAATTAAGAATCCTTACACTGACTAAGTGAATTCAAACTGTAGGAAGTGAAGGAATTTCCCTGCTGATTGCCCAAGGAAAGCAGTCTGTGAACAGTTAGGAATGGACTTCAAGAACTTGTACCATATCAAGAGGGTTCT